GAGTGGGGTCAAATGACCCCAGCTAGGTAGGCCTATGCAAAGCAGCTAGTATTTACTTTGGATTCAGATTTGGCCGATTCAGGAGACAGTGATTTGATTTGGTGATTCGAATCACTGCCCTGATTCAGTTCAGCCAAATCTAATTAAGATATTCAGCACCAGCTGAATCTCTGAATCAGCCAGGCCAGGCCCATCCCTCGCCCCTCTCCCAGCCCAGAAATGGCCACCCCACCCACCCCAGCTCCCAGCCCTTGGGTAAAAAAAAAAGCCCTGCTCAGCAGGTGCTGCTGGGTGGGGGGCAATCCCCACTGCCCCACTCTGCATGGGGGGCTCTGCACAAGCCCCCGAGTCTGCCCCCCACTCCCATAGCCTCCCCACAGGTGCCCCGCATAGGCCAGCTCTGGCCCTTTAAGGAAAAAAAAACAAACCTGAAGAAACCCTGGGATTCACTGCTCCTCCTTGCAGGGGGTGATCCCCGCTGCCCCGCACCACATGGGGGGCTTTGCCTGAGCCTCCTGAAGCCCTGAGGCTGCACCAGGAGCAATGAGTCCCACGGCTTTTCTTGTTTTTTTTTTTCTTAAAGGGTCAGAGCCCCAGCAGGCACGGCACCTGGGGAGGGGGGAATAGTGAGGAGGTTGAGGGGGCTTGTGCAGAACCCCCCCATACAGCATGGGGCAGTGGGGGGCAGTGAGGATCACCCCCCATCTGGCAGCACCCAGTGAGCACTGGTGCTTTCCTTTAAAGTACCGGGAGCTGGGGTGGGGAGAAGCTGGGGGTCAGGGGGCTAGGAGAGCAGGGGGGTTGGGGGACTGGCAGGGGTCCCTCCATGGTCCCCTCCCCCAGCCTCCTTTTCCCTGCCCTTAGTACTTACCATCTCAGAGTGGTTACAGCTCCATGCTGCAGACACCAGGGACTGCCTGAATCATCAAAGCTCTCTGAATCTTTCCCCTCAATGTGATGAAGTGATCAGCAAGGGTAACTGCACTTTATCATGAATTAGCAGATGCATGATGAACAGGTCCAGGGAAGTGATGCACATTTTTTTGTTTTTAACATTTTAAAATACTGCATAATATATTTGAAAATATCGGCTGGTTTGATAGTTTAATATACTCACTCTCAAATGCACTGGTGTAAATGTAGGTTAACTCCACTAGAAACAAAGCTGCAAAGACACAACATTTAGCTGCAAAATCCATTAGTAAGGTAAAGTACTAATTGAGTATAGGGAGATCACACACCTGTGTAAACAGACAATAGTCATGACCAGATAGATGAGCAGGGTAACTGGATACAGTAGATAACTGCTATTGTGCCTTAATGACAGATGATGAGGAAGCAAGTAACTTATTTGCCTTGAAAAAACAGATAGGATGGATGCAGATCCCAAAAATGCAGATGATGTTAATGAAGCTCAATTCCTTCTAGTATTGTAGTGGTAGCAAGGGGTGAGGCCAATACATGCTTTAAGTAAGAGTTTTCTGTTTAATAGATATCAAAATAATAATCTCCAAATGTATTCTTTTAAATGAACTATTCAGTTTAGGTAAATAAAATATCTGAGTACTGTCTCTTTTGAAAAGTACTAAAATTAACCACAATCTTGAGCTTAAGAATACAGTAAAAGTTCTGTTTTCCATCATCTTACAACCTGGCATGCTCCACTAACCGGCATGCTGGCTTGTAAGATAAAGTGAAACTGGAAATAACCACCATGGCATTTCCAGTTTCTCCAAGCCCCGGTTGTTTGGGGCAAAGCAGCCTGTGCTGCCGAACACCCATGGCCCGGGGGCATAACAAGCTGTGTGGGGCTGTGCGGGACCTGTCTCCCTGTCCCATGGGAGCAGTGGCAATGCAGCAGGAGGGGCAGCAATGCCATGGGAGGGATGGAGGGATGCCCCAGACCCAGCGTGAGAAGCGGCAACCGGGGCCTGTCAATTAACCAGCATATTTTGTCATCTGGCATCCCCCATTCCTGGGGGATGCCAGATAACAGAGCTTTTACTGTATTTTGGAAATTGAAAGAAGCTTGGACTTTGATTTATAAGTCATTGGTTAATATTTTCAGAGCAGCTTAAAAGCTAAATTTAGGCACTCCGTTTTTAGGCAAAGAATGTAGGCATCTAAATTTTTTAGGCTTCTTTAAATTTCAAAGTGGCTAGGGACAGAAGTGACACATAAACTGGTTTAAGTGATCAAAAATTGTTTTAAACCAGTAACACAATATAAGTTTGGTGCACATAAACCAGTTTCAAAATGGCTGAAACTGGTTTAAGATAAACCTGATTGAATGTAATATCAGACTCAACTGATTTGGGTCAAATCGGTTTATGTAACATCTGTCCCAAACCCCTTCCTGGTTTAAGTTAAACCAGAGTCTCCCAGGATCCCAGCATGCTTTTCAGCCCTGGGATGGGCTGTACCATGTGCTTCAGACAGCAGGGCTGGCCCTGCCCCTCTGCTCTCTAGACAGAAGGGAGTGGGGCATGGCCAGACACCAGCTGACATGGACCCTTGAGCCAAAGGCAAAGGGAGCAGGGAGCGGTTTTATTCCCTCTCTGTTGAGATATACAGGAGAATGGGGTATAAATCCTCATTGTTCTCCTCACTAGAAGTTATTCAAGATAGGAATAGTCTTTGTCTTAGTTTATATAGCACCTAACACGGCAGAGCCTCAATCCTGATTGGGGCCTCTGAGCACAGCTGTAAGAACAACAATCATAATGATTAGCAATCTGTTGGTGTTTAATTGTAGTTCAACCTTATACTTAATTTATTAGTAATGCTATCTTGTTTTGCCCTGCTACGTATGAAGTGCATGCTTCCCTCTCAACTTTCTAGGTTCTGTGGGAAATAAAAATGATATTTTCTACCAGTTTTCTGTTTCAAATGTAAGTAGATTTTTTTCAAAGTCATCTTCTTACACTATATTAATTTTAATTCATAATGTTTTCAGTGACTTAGAGCACTGTGTTTTTCCTGGCCCTTCCCCCATGCCAACTGATTTGAAGCATGGTAAAGTATTCCTATTTTTCCTGTGAGATAATGAAGTTGACAGGGAACTCTTTATCAAGGAGTAGAATTGCAAGGCAGTACTTGTCTTCACTTCTCATCACAGCAACAGGAAATTTCCCTAAGGAAGAAAACTCAGTGTCATTTTTTAATCTTTGATATAAGCAACCATATTAGCAGCTTGATTAAGTTAAAACAATATGGATATTTGGTTTGTCTTTTTCTTTTCGAGATTTTAAGATTCTTAGCAACTTGATAATTCACACATTACGAAGAGATTACATATTATGTTATTTAAAATTTTTCATAGCGCCCTTAATTTTCCAGAGGAATAAGTAAGCATTATTATATCAGTTGCCTACATTATTTTTATATAACCTAACAGTCGTCTGTCCCGAGGAGGGTGGCAATAGGATATGGAGCCTCTTACTCTTATGTCAAGATGCCGTCAGTTCAATACAAAACAATATTGACAGGCTACCAGCAGAAATATCTTAATGATGTCAATCCATTTAAAAATGGACAAATGTTCATGCTGTTAAAAATGTACTGCCAGAGTACTAATTGGTAGCCTTATTTATATTCTTATCAAAGAAGGTTTATTCTCTGATGTAAACAGAAATACGCCATCCTTAACTATTGAGCTGTCTACTTCAAATCATAGCTGATGAGATTACACTTGCTGGGTGACTGTGTATAAAATTGCTTTGCTCCTCAGTGAGGTGACCTATTCTATGGGAACAGAATTAAGGCATGATTAACCGGTTTAACTTTAAGTTGTGACCCAGCTACATGGTCAACCAATTAATGGCATGATTAAACAAGCAATAAGCTACAAAATTACTTCACAAAAAAAATCTGTAATAACTTTGTAGCTTGTTCTTATTATACTATTAATTGAATGTATGGCCAGGTGCTCCCCTGTGGGTGTGAGCTCCATCAATTGAGGGGGCTTCCAGCTACAGGAATGTACCACCTGCTGCCAGCCCACAGCTTGCAATGTTTGCAGTGGTGGCACTGTTTGTTCCTGATGCTGCCTCCACTTTGAGCCTCATCATCTGTGAGGCTACTAGCAGGGCAGTGCCAGGAATGCTCCTGCTGCTGTGAACCTTATCGTCAGCTATGGGGCTCACAGTAGGGGCATGCTGCCACTGCTGCAAGTCTCATCAGCTCTGAGACACTGGGCGAGAGGGGGCAGGTAGAATGCCACTCTGCCTGCAAGCCCAGTCAGCTACAGGACCCTCAGCCATGGGAGCCGGTGCAATGGGATCTAATGAGCAATCCCATAATTGCACTTCCTGCCATACATGTGTGGCATGGCAGGATGTGCAGTTGTATAGCTTGCAAATTCGATCCCATTGCACCTTTACCTGCATGTGTAGAGGGACCCTGTGTCATCCAATTGCAAAAGCAATTAGGGTGATAAGGATAAAAGGACTGATTCATGGTATATTGCACTGTAAAGAATTATTTAATGAAAGAATCCTTGGCAGTAAACTAGGAGAGTGCTTGAGCAGCGCAATAACATGTCTAACACTAACATGACTATTTTATCTTTCAGAATAGTTTGCAAATAAATATTTTGCACAGGAAGTACACTGATCCAAACAATTTAAAATTTGAGGAAATTTAAAATCTGTGGATTAGCTCTTGAATTAACAGTGCTTACTGTGTCTCAAAATGGAGTAGTGCAAAATTCTGCTTAGACGATCAGCTATAATTCTTCCAATAAGGTCAATCAGTGAAAAGAAAAAAGAAAGATTGAACCCCCCTTATATAATCTCTAATCATTTTTGTCACTCTGCTGTATTCTTTATAAGCTGTCCACATCTTGCTTGAAGTGTGAGGCTCAAACCTCATCACAGTATTTCAGGTGAGGCATCACCATTGCCAGATTCAATGTAAGAATCATTTCCTTTGATTTGCAAGTGACAGTTCTTTCAGTACAACCCTGACGGCTTTTTTTTTTTTTGCAAGAACTCACTGTGGACTCATAGTCAGCTTATAGCACGTTGCAACCCCCTGGTCATTCTCCACAGTTCTGCAGCCTTGCCAGGCATTTCCCAGTCTGTATTTGTGCATACGATCTTTCCATCACAAGTGCATTCCAACACCCCACTCCCTCCACTTTCAACTTCTCAACAACATCTTTGCTTAGGCACTGTAATTGCTAATTATTTCTTTGGGACTGTACAATGTCTTTACAATTTCTTGCTTTATATCAATGTTCTAGATACAAAAAAGAAAAAAAAATATTTTTGTTGCCTTTCTTAGAGAGATCTATATTTAAGCACAAAAATAACATTAACTTCTATGGAAGCTATGGGTGGCTATACAGTTTTATTTAGATGCTTAAGTTTTCAGCACTCAAGTGAAATGTTTAGCTTGCGTGCATTTGTAAAAATATGAATTAATTGAGCTTTATGAGGCAGGTCCTCAGTTATTGTCAGTTGTCATAACTCCAGTGCAAAAGCCTGTTGATTTTAATGGATCCATGATCATTTACTAACTGAAAATGAACCAAGAAGTGAATTTTAAAAATAGACTTAAGGTAAGTTTAATAATTTGTTATTATTGTTTTATTTTTACAGGTTGCCCATATAACAGGGCTTGAGCTTGAATTAGGAAAATCTTATTTACTATCTTGGACTCAAATGCTCAGTGACAGTGAAAGATTTAGCTGTCATCCTGCTGCCAATGCAACAGCAAAAAAATGCAGAGCTTATTGGCTGCATCTGGAATGTAAGCAAAAACATATATTTATCTAACATGAAGTATAAGTATATGATTAAGAAATTTATCTTTTCGCCCCTATGGTTTAATATTTAAAAACAACAGGTTGTCTAAGTTTGGAATAGAGTTTGTGAGATAAATTTCTCCATCTATAAGACTTTTAAAAAACATATGGCCAGATTCTTAAAAAACAGTTGCCAGATCTTTTTTAGAATAACTTCATGAACCTGTAATATTTTGCAGCAGCAAAGGATCTGGCCGAAGTTCACAGAAAATGCAGTGCTCTTGAAAGTGAGGAGCAAATAACAGTAAAATTATGCAGAATAGAATAAACTTTATACAAATGCCATGTACCATTTCTCCCATGCACGGGATGTGCAAGGCCTGCTTGAATGAGGCACAATTCTCTGATCACTAAAACAGGCTCTAAGTAAATATTGGTTCAGCTAGAACAAGAGGTCAGAAGAAATCCTTGAAGTTTTGGGAAGACTTGATTCAGCCTTCAGTGTGGAGGCTAAGATGTATATCTATCTTTACAACTGGAACCCCCAATATGAGGTTCTGCAGATTTGGATTGAATCCAGATGTCTGTATATGTGTTCTCTTCTGAGGGAAACCACATCACAGATCTCCAGCACCCCAGCTCTCACCTTTCTCCCAGGGAGATGCGTTGCTTGCTGGACTCTGCTGCTTCAATCAAATGGAGCAGAACAACCTGCTCCACTATCCCCACACTGTGATGCTGGGAGACACAGGCTGACTCTGAGCAGTCTGAATCAGTTGATCAGGGCTGCCCTGTGCACTGCTCTGTGCCTTTTGTCTCTGGGCAGACTGAGGATGTGCCAAGTCGGGGACCAGTCTCAGGGGTGGCACGTGTCCCCTGCCCTGTGCCCCTCCTACCAGTTGCCTGTGCTGCAGAGCATGTTGAGGTGAGTACAAAAGGCCTGGATCTGCAGCATCAGCACTGCAAGCTCTTTCCTCTTCAGGGGCTCAGCATTCAAATGTTTGTCCAGGTGTGTCCACATAATTTTTTCTACCAGGAGAACAAACCTGGGACAGTTCCCCCAGATTATTTGACTGTGTATACACAGTCTTAGAGTACCATGGGCTGATGGCTCCCCCGCCCTTCCCCCCCCCATGTGCCATCTTTTCAAGGAACTCCTAAATTAAATTGCTTTATTCTAAAAATGGGAGCCTGTATAATTTTCTTTTATAAGTTTTCAAATTAAGGCCATCTAATAGTAATACACAAAATATTTTAATTTTCAGAAACAAATTTCTGTACCAAATGTTCCCTTCTGTTACTGCCTTCCCAACCTTCGCTATTCTGTCAATCAAATTCAGCATACATCTTCAGGTTTAACAGCAAACCTCAGCACAAATGTTAAGTATGTTAGCTGTTCTCAGTCTCCTACTATACCAATTGATATACTTTTCTTGGAAGTGAAATATCATTATGACACTATGCTGCAATTTAAGATAAATAAATATTGTTTCATTTGTTAAAAAAAAAAAAAGATTCCTGAAACATACATACGAGCATCTTAAAAAATAATTGAATTTGAGGAATTTTAACAACTTTGTCATTAGGATGAAAGTATTGATCATTAGCGACACAGTAATAGTAAGTATTATTTGCTAACGTTTGGGTTTTTCCCACTTAGAACATATCATAAAATAAGTAACCTAACACATTAGTTTTAGTAAACTATAGGTAATAAAGCAGTACTCCATAACGAGGGGCCTATCCAACTTGAGGATGTACCTAGCTGATTACATGGCAGATTGCAGGGCTGGCTGCCATTTCTGAGGGCTTATCATGGGTGGAGCCCCCTCTACACCTGTGGCTGAGGGACCCTGGTGGCTCCACCTCTCACCACTGATTGGCTACAAAGGCTGTTCATCATATGGCCCTGCCCTCTTACCATTGATGGGTTGCAAGTACTGAAACCCACCTCTTGCCACCAATTGGTGGAGAGGGGTGGGGCCACGTGATAGGCAGCCCTCTCAGTCAATCCATGATGAGGGGTGGGGGTGGCAGCCATCTTGGCTGCTAGCCTCCCTGTGTACTGGCAGCCCCCCTCCCCCTTCTCCTGCCCCTCTCAGCAGAAAAAAGAACATGGTACTGAAAGAGAATGCCTCTACTTGAGGCACATTTGCAAGATACTTTTCCGTTTTAGCTAACAGAAATTAGCCCAGTGGTTCTCAGTCATGGTCAACATGGACCACAGTACCCTCATGGGTACTGTGACAAAGGTGCTGCCACTGTGGCAGTAGCCATGTAAAACTATCCTGCATGCACGGCTACACCACACACTGACACTTGCTTGGGGATGTCTGAAAAGTCTGATAAGCACACAAGAGTTTGGGTTTGGGCTGCTACTCTTCCTGTTCTGGCCCATGTCACTCTCTTTCCAGAAACAGAGGTAAGCAAATGTTCCATCCATCTTCTGGGAAGAGCATGGAGCCAGCAATCTTGTCTGCTTGGGGAGGGTGCCTTGACTCTGAAAAGCTTGAGAACCCCTGGACTAATCTATTGTATTTTTAAAAAGCTGTATTGGTCCCACTTTAAAAGTTTTTCTCTGTTAGAAATCTTCCTTTGTGTAAAGAGGAGGACTGAACGATATCCCTTTAGTTAATGTGGGAAAAAGTGATTGAAATAAAGGATTGAAATTTTAAGAGTCCTCAGTGTACACAACAGATGAATAATTTATACATGTTCAAGTGAACCAATTTCTCCTCTACACATTTATGATTATAACAGTAAAAGGTATGAGGTTCCGATATTGTTAAATATCCCTAACAGTTCTAGAAGTACAGCTGTGAGTTGATTCTATGAAGCATCAGTTCGAAATGAACCATTTGGGATCCAAGTTCGATGCAAAAGCACAGGGACGGTTATGTCAGCATTTTTTTTGACTATCCAAATATTTATTTTTCAAATTTTTGATTGTCCTAAACTATCTTAGCATCCACTGTGCTGCGTGGCTCTTATGATTCACTGACTCTTATATACCACCCCCAAACTGGAAGGAATCAGTCAGATGAGAATCTCTCTTCTTGGAGTCTGCTCAGCCACTGCCTGGATTATGAGAATTGTTTTCTGAACATCCTGTAGAATAGTTGTTAATGGACTAACTTATATAAAACTAGTTTTACTGAGAACACCCTACCTTCCTCACAGTTGGCCAAATGTTTTCCCAATTTTCACATAACTGGTCCTTGAAATTTTTCCCACTGCAGTAAATGGCATGACAATATTTTATTTTTTCTCTATAATTCCTTTTTCAGTGAGGTGAATTAATTTACAGTTTACACCCATCTTTTGCATGGGCATTTTCCTTTATAATTAATTTTCTTCAAAAATTGTATTGCTTGATTTTTCTTTTTCTTTTTGGTGTTGTGGGTGTGATTATAAGATGATTTGTTTCCTTGTGACTAGACATTGGCTCTGATTGATTGACTTACTGTTTTATTTCCTTTTTTTCAGTGGCCAGGGTTTGCCTCTGTGGGGTGTTTTATGTCTTTGTTATTTTGGAGCCCATTGGGCTATATATATAAATTCAGTAATCCCCATGTCTTGTAAAATAGTCCTGTACTGCACTGTAACTTTCAAGGTAAGGTACACATGGTCCTGGCACTTGGAGTCAAAATTGCTTTTGCCAGAAAAATATAATAGATATTGTATGTCTTTCCATATAAATATATGATTAGATATTTCATATTCATCCTTAGATTTGGTTTGATCAATCTGGAGCACTTGGGAAATGGTGAAATATTGTTCTAGGCAATATTTATATCAACCCAAGTTTTTCATGAACCTTCCTAAACTGCCTGGGCAGTTCATACCTCTCAAAGCTGTTATTCTAGGCTCTTGAGCTATGTACAGACATTCAGAGGCATTAAGAGGAGGTTAAATCAATTAAAAATATCAGGTAAGTCAGGATTTGGTGGGGGGGGGATAAATGGGGGTTGGGTATCCAGCAGGGTGGAGGGGATCGGGGGCCCACTAGGGGATTGGGGGGGGAGACTTGACCTGCGAGTCAGGTAGGGGGGCAGGCATGACCCACAAGGGGAAGGGGAGGGGAGGGCAGTCACAACCCATGGGTGGGGTGGGTCCTCCCCTCCAGTGAATCTGCACCTCCATCTCTCCCACTCCTTTCCCCATTGCAACTTACTTGCTCAGTTCTAGCAGCAGTGAATACTGATAAAAAGTGGCTGCACATGAAGTAGCTTGTGAGATGGGAGTTAAGAAAGCTGGCTGGCTGGTGGGGGAAGCAATGGATTGGGACGGGGGGAATAGTCTAGTGTGGGGAAAGGGTGTGTGTGAAAAGAGCAGCCTGGGGCTGGGGCCAGTGGCTAGGTTTTCCCTGCCCTGGGGCTACACAGGGGAAGTTCCATGCACCAGTTTGACCTAAATCAAATAAGTCTGATACTACATAGATCCAGGTTCATTTTAAACTGGGTCCTGAAATTTTTAGACCAGTTTCTGTGCATGGAACTTCTGCACAGTTACAGGTTTCGACTGATTGCTGGTCACCGGGAATGAGTCTCTAAGTGTAAGGTCAGCACCAGGACAAACTAAATTTAAATTGGGTGTCCATTTTGAATCCAATTTAACCTCCCCAAATGTCTGTAGTTAGCTCTGGTGTTCTGATGTAGATCTGTCTGCTACATTTAGTTCACATTCTGTAAGTTTTCTGTGCAACCATAGCACTTATACATACATTTTTCTAAAAGAAATGAAAGTTGTGTTAGATAGGTGCTGAGACAGTATGTGGGCATGCATGCTGCGACACAGAAAATTTAACTCCTTTCTTATAATTTTCTTTCCATTCTTCACTGATGATGGAGTGATTTCTTTTTGCTATTTCAGTTGGGATACTCAGGTACCTGGTTTCATTTCTAGTGACATGTTCATTCAGATTTCTACTCACCTCCCATCACTGTATGTATATGGATTTGGTAAAACTGAACACACTATGTTTCAGCCTTATATGAAGTGGAACACCTGGAAAATGTACACAAGACTAACTGCCTGGTGTAAGTAGTCTTTGATTTCAGTTTTGATTGCTCTTGAAGCTGCTGCTCTTTATCTTTGATTTACATAGATGTGGGGCTTCCCAGCTTGATCTTCTATGAAGATAGATAATACTTTTCAAAATCTAAAATTTTCCAAAGAACAAATTCTGCCTTGGATAATAGCCAATATATGCATATAGACTATAGGCCAGATACTGAGATGTGACTAAGCTATTCTCAGAAAGTGACACCCTGTCTGTTTTCCTGATTTAGGTGAATGAATCAGGCAGGAAGGCACAGCATAAAGATCTCCCTTATTTTACAGCACTTTATATCTCAGTCCTGGGCTACCTCTTGTAAATATTGATAAATTCCAGCTTCTGTGAAACTGCATTCCCAATACTCAACATACCTTTCTTCACAAGCAGTTTCTACATGCATATAAAAACATAAAACACATCATTCTCTGATACATCTCTTATTTCAAAACGCTAGCTATAATGATGGGAAAAAAATCATGTTTTATGCTAAGTAGTTCTTGGATTGTTGGAAAAGAAGTATGTAGATAAAAAGGCAGAGACAAATGTTTTTACTATTCATTTTAACCTTATAGTGGCTGCATCTACATGTGCTATTTAAACAAAGCAATAAACTCCAGTGCATATCACACTGGAGTTTATTGCTCCAGGAATCGTAGCACGTTGAGCCAGGTCAGAGCAGCCCCAGCTGGCAGGGTACCCAAGGGGGTCAGCCTGCCAGCCCAGGGCTGCTCCAACTGGGCTCAATGTACTGTAGAGGGGCTGGCTGGAGCATGAGGGTGCTCCAGTGTTGTGCTAGCCAGGAGGCAACCCCCACACTGTAGCACTCTCATGCCCCAGCCAGCCCATCAGTGTCTACATGTGTGTTACTGTGCACTAAAGAATGTTTCCATGTGATAGTACTTGTGTTTACAAGCACTAAGCTACAGTAGAGTTAATTAATTTCCTGAGGCCTAATAGGACTGCATGTGTAAATGTTGAGACTTTATTGCAGAGCTAATTAGGCAGCTCCACAGTAAATGTTTCATGTAGATGTGCCCACTGGCTGCAAACCTCATAACATCATATACAAAATAACATAACTATACATAAATATGCCATAACACTGATTTACCTGAAAATACTCTTTTATTGAACAGTGATGTGGGGTTTCAAGAAATGTAGAGAAGACATAAGTAAATTATTGTGCAGGCAACCATTCCATGGTTTAGGAAAGTGACTATTTGTATTATACAGTGCAACATCCTGAAATATTAAATATCTCATGTATATATATGTGTAAGGAACAGGCAGGGGGTGATTTCCTATATATATATATATGTGTGTGTGTGTGTGTGTGTGTGTGTGTGTGTGTATATATATTATACACACACACACACTGAGATGTGATTAAGCTGTTCTCTGAAAGTGACGCCCTGTTTGTTTTCCTGATTTAGGTGAATGAATCAGGCAGGAAGGCACAGCATGAAGATCTGCCTTATTTGACAGCACTTCATATCTCAGTCCTGGGCTACTTCTTGGGCCTCTTTAATGTTCAAAAGACCAGATTCAAAGGCAACTGAAGTCAAAATACTCTTTGGACACAAAATTAGACCCATAGTCCATGGGAATTTGTACTGTGACAAATATTTTAATACAAAATAAGTTTAGGGCCATCTCTAAATCAATTTAATTCTGAGAACAGACCCAGATTTTGAGGCTAAGGTAGTTCATAGCAAGTGTGATTTTTGATATTATGGAGCATTAAACTCTTAAAAAGATTTTAAACAGCTATTTAGTTTTGGAATATAGATGATATCCTCTCTCTCTCTCTCTCTCTCTCTCTCTCTCTCTCTCTATATATATATATATATATATTAATTTGGGAATATGCAGTAGTACAATTCCTTTTTTTCCCCACTTGAGTGCTGTCTCACACATTGAGTTCATCCTGTCAGGCTATTGAAAATGATTTGAAACTGCATTTACTGTATTTGCCCAAATACAAGATGACTGTGAAAGTAAGATTTCCCCCCTCCCCTCTGCCCTCCCCCCATACTTAGGTTCTACGGATGGAAAATTTATAAATTTATTATAATTTTCTGTGTATGGAATCTAATTCTTAACAGATCATCTTAAATCCCCCCCCCCCCCCTTGGGGGTAGTGGGGGAAGGAGTGATGACGGGGGCAATAATGAGGCAGATAGTGGGGAACAGGCAGTGGGGGAGGCAGTAGAGAGGCACATATTAGAGCAGGCAGTGGGGGACAGTGGGCCAGGCAATGAGAGGGGTAGAGAGTGAGAGAGCTTGACTCCTGATGCCTGTCCTTCATAATTAAGCCCTGCCCTGCCTTGTGCCTGCCCCCCGTAGCCTCAGGTCCTGGCTTCTTTCTTCCCCCACTGCTGCTACAGGGCTGGGCTGGAGCATGTGCTCCATGTTCCAGGCTGTAGCAAGGTCAAAGCCTGCTGGTGTGGAGCAAAAGTAAGGAGGCATGGGACAGAGCGGGAGACAAGGGCCGGCAGGAAGTATCTACAGCTGCTGCCCCAGGTCCAGCACCAACCCCAGGCTAGAGCAGGAGATGCAGTATCTCCCTGCCCCTGTACTGTCTTCTGCTCAAGTATAAGGTGTGAGGGGCTTTTTTTCCTTATTAACTAACTAAATATAGTATGTACATGATGATGGTATATGGTTAAGAGGCATTGGGAGGAAAGGGAAGAGATTCAGGAATGACTTAAAATTTGGATCATCATGGCTGCATCACTCTATCACTCTTATACTACCACAATAATTTACTTTAACCTTATAATTTTATTGTAAGTAGAAAATATGTGACTATTTATTACATTTTAAAATTCTCTTTGTTTTACAGTACAAAGTGAATTCTTATGGTTTCTACCCCTTCTTCATGGCCTTGGAAAATGATGGAAATGCTTATGGAATTCTTTTACTTAACAGTAATACAATGGGTAAAAAAAAACAAACCCTCACCTTTTATTTTCTAACAGTGTTTACATAACAGTAATGTTCACTTTTTCATAGGAGTAGTTTTATCTGATTTCTCATTTCCTGTTCTAGGAGTTTTTCTTTTCGAGATACCAGCCAACTCCTGGTCTGACATATTGCACAATTGGAGGAATTGTAGACTTTTACATGGTTTTGGGCCCCACTCCAGAGTTTACTTTTCAAGAATACACTGCAGTAGGATTGATACAATGTCACAAGCTATAGATTATTTTTTCTTGTATGTTTTTATTGCCCAGTTTCAAAACTCTGTTTTTTCCTATTTTATTGTTAGTTGATTGGATGACCACTCATGTCACCTTATTGGGCTTTGGGATTCCAGCTATGCCATTATGCATACAGAAATGAGCCTCTGATCTGTATATGGAAATCAAAGCAGCTCAGATTCCCTATGTATGCTTTTTGAACTTTTAATTTGTGGTATTGCTTGAAACCTTTCTTTTCAGACTACTCACTAAAAACAGAAAGAAAGAGAAAGGAAACCACTGAATAATTAAGAATACTATATATACTTTAATATACACTTCTTTGTGTACTCCAAGAGCTAGGTTCAGCCTTCTAAAGGCACAGTCATCCTGTTCAATTGGATTGCCTACTATAAGTCCTCATTGAATTAATGAAGGTTTCCCTGCTTGACACTTCATTGATGATTTTGTGTAAATGATTTTATGCCAGGGTTACCAACCGAAGAACATTTTTTTTCATTGACAAGCTGCAATTTTTTTAACAGACAACCAATCTTTATTTATTATATGTTTGGTGTTAAACCCCTAAATTTGAAACCAACCCTTGTCACTGCTATCTAGGGCCTGGCCCAAGGAATATGAGTACATGTAAAGTATATAAAACATATATTAGTAAAAAAAAAAAGTTATGTTGTCACTAAAAATTTTGCAGATTGTCAGAAAAAAAAAATCTTGGCCTGCCAACTCTGCTTGACTATAGCAGTGGTTTTACACCATGTCACACCCCACACAGTCCCACCCTGCTAACCCCATTCTCCCATCCCCACACATACTACCTCTTCCTCTTCTGGCTCACAGTTCCCTTCCTGCAGCATTCCCCTCTCCTTGTACCTTCAAGGAAAGCAGCTGCTAGAGACAAAGGATGGCCAGAAATGTAGTGGCAGCACAAGGATGGGCAGGGGTAAGGAATGTCTTTGCAGGCTCCCTGGAATCCAAAGTTTGCTGAGCTCACAGTGTCACGAGAGCACTCTGCAGGGTGTATATCCCACTCAGATACCAGGTGAGTACTGCTATGTTCCCTCTATCATCAAGCTTATCATTGTTTAGTGTTTTTACAGACTGCCCCACTTTTTTTACAGACTTTACATAAGGGCATTTTTCCCTATTTTTTTACTTGGCTGCAAATTTACAGACAGTTGGCAGCCTTGTTCTGTGCCTCCCAAAAGACAGGGCTCTTACTTAGCTACCCATAATGGATTAGTGAGTAATTGAAAGGAACAGCAAATGAGAGAAAGAGAAAAAACAACATGTATTTAATGTTAGCATTGGAATGTTCAGGTGGTCTTTGAAGAATCACCTGCTATATTACTGCAGCAATAAATTTGAAATGCATGTGAGCCCAATATAATGGTGCTTCACATTAATGGCACTTCTTCATTAGGATTCAGCTGACAGGGAATCATCTCTGCATGGTACAAACTGATAATACCTTTATTTCTCAGGCACTGACTCACACATATGTATATTTTCCCAATGTGTGTGTGTGTGTGTGTGTATGTGTGTAGGAAAAATATACATGTGTGTGACTTGATTCAGATAGAAAATTTACTATCCACTACAGATTAATAAAGGCACAAATGGGACTTTATTTCTATCTGTCTATCCATCTATCTATGTTCAAAATGAATTTAATGGATGAAAGGTGTAATTGCAAATTGAACTTGGTTTTGGACTGTACAAATACATTCAGCAGATAGTTCTGCTAGATGATACAGCAGTTTCCTCTTACTTTTCAGAAAGTCAGCAGTTTTTTTTATTTACCTACTGTGGTATAAATAGGCACTTAAAAATAGTTGCTTATTTTCATGCATTGTTTTTGTGAACCACAGGATGTACAATACACGGATATTGATTATATGGAAAGTCCATTAGACTTCATGCTTAGTCCACACTTCTCTGGATTGCCAAAATTTGTTGACAAAATAAAAACAAAAGGAATGAGATTCATCATCATTATTCTGGTCAGTCTTCATGTCTTTCCCACCCTTCCCCTAACCTGTTCCTTAAACTCATAGATAATAGCAAAGCATATTTCACATAATGCTCTGATACATATGACTTCATTTCCATTTAAACTCAAATTTATTTTTTTCCCTTCAATTTTTTAATCCAACCATTTCTTGCAATGAAACCAACTATCCAGCATTTGCAAAAGGATTAAAGGATGATGTCTTTATCAAGTGGCCTGATAACAGTGATATTGTATGGGGAAATGTATTGTTTTTAGACAATTTATATCATTAGGTCTTGCTTGACCTTGCATTTCCTTCTACGACCAGGTGACCTATCACCTGGACAAGGGAGAAGAGACTGATGTCATACATCTTGACTTCAAAAAAGTCTTTGATCTGGTATCCCATGATCACCTCTTGGCAAAACTGGCCAATAGTCGCCTTGGGTCCACCATGATCCCCTGGCTGGGAAATTAGCTCCGTGGTCAGACCCAGAGGGTGGTAATTGATGAAAGTCAATCATCATGGTGCCCTGTGACCAGTGAGGTCCTCCAAGGCTCTGTCCTTGGACCCATATTGTTCAACATCTTCATTAATGATGTGGACATTGGAGTCAGAAGTGGACTGGCCAAGTTCGCCGATGACACCAAACTTTGGGGCAAAGCATCCCAGGAGGGCAATCCAGGCTGACCTGGACAGGCTCAGGAAATGGGTGGATGAGAAGCTGATGGTGTTTAACACTGAAAAATGCAAGGTTCTCCACCTTCGGAGGAAAAACCCGCAGCATCCTTATAGGGTTGGCAGTGGTACGCTGGCTAGTACTATGGAAGAAAGAGACTTGGGGGTCATCATTGACCACAAGATGAACATGAGCCTGCAATGTGATGCTGTGGCTAGTAAAGTGACCAAAACACTGACTTGCATCCATAGATGCTTCTCAAGCAAATCCCGGGACGTCATTCTCCCCTTGTACTCGGCCTTGGTGAGGCCACAGCTGGAGTACTGCATCCAGCTTTGGGCTCCACAATTAAAAAAGGATGTGGAGAAGCTTGAGAGAGTCCAGAGAAGAGCCACACGCATGATCAGAGGTCAGGAAAACAGACCTTACAATGACAGGTTGAGAGCCATGGGGCTCTTTAGCCTAGAAAAGCGCAGGCTCAGGGGTGATCTGATGGCCACCTATAAGTTTATCCGGTGTGACCACCAGTATCTGGGGGAACATTTGTTCACCAGAGCACCCCAACGGATGATGAGGTCGAACGGTTAGAAACTACTGCAAGGCCAATTCATGCTGGACATAAGGAAGAATTTCTTTACTGTCCAAGCCCCCAAGGTCTGGAACAGCCTGCCTTCAGAGGTGGTTCAAGCACCTTCAAGAGTAAATTGGATGCTTATCTTGCTGGGATCCTATGCCCCAGCTGACTTCCTGCCCTTTGGGCAGGGGGCTGGACTCAATGATCTTCTGAGGTCCCTTCCAGCCCTAATGTCTATGAAATCACTGAGACCAGGTCTAAGTATAAATTCTGCATTGGGTGCAAGCTACATTAAATCAGGTGGGCATTTTGAACCATGGCTAAGTTGATCACAGGCTACAAGTGTCTACAAGGATAAGAGAGTTCTAATATTAGATAGTCCTTTAATAAAGTAGAAGAAGATGCAATTGGAGTTAATGGTTAGATCATTTCAGAAGTTCTTTGGCCTGCATTATGTGGGAATTTGGCTAAGAAAATTGCAATAAGTTCCCTCTGGTATTAAAATCTAATGCAGCCATACCAAAGCTAAGAGAATGTTATTTTATTTTATAAATTTAAAGAAGTAAATCTAGATCTTGTGTTCACTGGCCACATCTACACGAGATGCTGACTGCACAGTAGATCATTACTACTGTGCAGTAGCATTGCGTGACATGAAGTGTAATGCAATGCTACTGTGCAGTAGTAATGAGCTACTGCACAGTCAGCATCACCTAAAAGCCATTTGGAGATGCTACTGCACTGTAACTCCAGTTACTGTACAATTATTTAATACTTGTGTATGCAAGTACTAAATGAGTGCGCAGTACCAAAAAGGGAGGAAGGAGGGCCCAGGAGACTATAGGCCCATTCGTCTTACCTTGATCCTTGGTAAGCTTTTTGAGAAAATTATCCTGGAGCATGTCTGCGAGGGACCAGCAGGGGAGATTATGCTTAGGGGCAACCAACACAGGTTCATTAGAGGCAGGTTCTGTCAGACCAGCCTGGTGGCCTTCTATGACCAGGTCACAAAATCCTTAGACACAGGGGTAGCAGTGGATGTAGTCTTTCTGGACTTTAGGAAGGCCTTCGACACTGTCTCTCACCCCATTTTCATTAAAAAAACTAGAGGACTGTGGCGTTGACACCTATACAGTCAAATGGGTTGCTAACTGGCTGGAGGGCTGCACCCAGAGAGTGGTGGTGGATGGGTCTTATTCAACCTGGAGGGATGTGGGCAGTGGGGTCCCCCAGGGCTCGGTCCTGGGGCCTGCACTGTTCAACATCTTCATCAGTGACTTGGACGAGGGGGTAAAAAGCACCCTGTTCAAATTCACAGATGACACTAAGATGTGGGGGGAAGTGGGCACACTAGGATGGAGGAATAGGCTGCAATCAGACCTAGACAGGTTACAGGGGTGGGCAGATGAGAACAGGATGGGTTTCAACACTGACAAGTGGAAGGTACTGCACCTGGGGAGGAAGAACCAGCAGCATACCTACAGGCTGGGGAACTCCATTCTTGTCAGTGCAGAGGCAGAAAAGGATCTTGGAGTCATTACTGATGCCAAAATGAACATGGGCCAACAGTGTGGGGACACGGTCAGAAAGGCCAACCGTACCTTGTCATGCATCCACAGATGCATCATGAGCAGGTCCAAGGAGGTGATCCTCCCCCTCTATGCAACACTGGTCAGGCCGCAGTTAGAGTACTGCATCCAGTTCTGGGTGCTGCACTTCAGGAGGGATGTGGACAACATGAAGCGGGTCCAGAGGAGGGCCACCCACATGATCAGGAGGCAGCAGGGCAGGCCCTACGAGGAGAGGCTAAAGGACCTGAACCTGTTCAGCCTCCACAAGAGAAGGCTGAGTGGGGATCTAATGACCATTTAAAAACTAGTCAGGGGGGACCAGCAGGCACTGGGGGAATCCCTGTTCCCCTGAGCACTACCAGGAGTTTCTAGAAATAATGGTCACAAAGTGGCAGAGTGTAGATTCAGGCTAGACATCAGGAGGCGCTACTTCACTGTGAGGGTGGCTAGGATCTGGAACCAGCTTCCAAGAGAAGTGGTGCTGGCTCCTACCCTGGGGGTCTTTAAGAAGAGGCTAGATAAACACCTTGCCGGGGTCGTTTGACCCCAGTACTCTTTCCTGCCATGGCAGGGAGTCAGACTTGATGATCTGCTCAGGTCCCTTCTGACCCTACCAACTATGAAACTATCTCTGAATGTTAAAGTGCTAAAGTCTATATTAGTGGCCAATGAATGCTAATATAGACCCAAAGGTTTTGCTCTTAAAAGTCAATCCCTATTGCAAAACAAATAGGAATTATCTAAATTATGTCATATGTAGATGTTCCCAGTCCACAACAAAACTATAAAAGTAAAGTCCTCATGGGGTGTCTAATAATAACAAGGTTTAGTAATTGAATTCTTCTGCAGAAGAATCATAAGTAATCATGAGCATCATGAGTAAGCCCAGTTGGAACAAAATAGCTGAGTAATAAACCATCCTCTATATTGAATTTGATAGAAGTCCTTGTTAAATTCTATTTGGTGCCACTGTGCCACCTTATATGGTTGTGTGATTTCCAGTTCCATCTACCTGTGACCCAAAATGTCCCCACTATGTCTGGTAGTAGCATATCTGACAAAAGAAAAGTGCCACTCTGGCTAGGAACTGCAGAGGCTGTAAAGTATTATAGAGCCTCCTCAGATCTGAATGAAAGTCCATAGCATCTAATCACTTCCCTGAGATCTGTGTGGCCTGAGGGGGTTTCAGAGGCTGAATCCCATGCTGTTTTGAATATGGATAATACATATAACTGTCCAAATGAGCAAAACCCCTTTCTTGTTCTCTCTCTGAGTTTTCTTATGTTGTGATAGTATTACTCTCTGATTTGTTTACTCCTTACTATTGGTTTTCTATGCATTGGTACCCCTGACCTGAAACCATGCACTTCTTCCTTTAACAATAATCTCCTAAAAAGAGATACTTATGTTCTAATAAATCCAAATCTTTGTAGTAGTAACAGTGCATGCAACAAATTTCTAATTTATTACGTGAAAAAATGTTCTTAGTTTGATTTCATTTAAAAAAAAGAATTTCATATTCGTATGATGATTTTTCCCCATTATAATAATAAATAAGTGAATATGGTTATATATCAGCCTTAGAGATGCTGTTGCTGGAGAGGGACATGTGGTTGAAAGGACACACATACTATTAAAGCAATGAGAAAAGGATATGAGTGGTAGAGAGATCAGAATAATCTTTTTCAAATGTGGTTGTCTTTGGGGTTACATGACAGAGTTTAAAAAATAATTTATGGTAAAAATAATGTAGCTGCTCTTCTTGGGCTGATTTTTTTAAGTTTTCTCTTTTTCTCACTAGGTCTGGCTAGGTTATCCTAATGTAACTGTTGATGACTCAATAACATGGGAAAATAATCAAACACACGTGGAGGTAAGCTTGTATGCCATTGGTATTATGATAATTTTTAATTTGCCACCAACACCAAGCAGCAAAGGTAGGTGAGCATCTCAGGCATTTCAGAAAGGTACAAAAATGAGTAATGTTGCCCTGAGGGGTCAGGCCAACACTCAGGATCTCAGTACTGCGCTGTTAGACAGGAGGGCATGGTGTACAATTGCACGTGCATACATAAAAAAATGAATTAAGCACATATACACTCACTAGGTGCATACACCCCCACTAGGCATACACACTCACACTAGTAACTCAGATACACACACGTTCAAAATAACCAGTCTAGGTTCATGCACACCTATCACCAGTTTAAGCCCATACACGCTACACACACCAAATTTAGACAGAATCAGTTACCAGTTACCAACACCTGCACATCCAATACACATATGTGGATTACTAATCCATATACCACACACACAATGATATCTATATGTGTGTGTGTGTGTGTGTATATATATATATATATATAATGTGTGTGTGTGTGTGTGTGTGTGTATTCACTAATTCACACACATACCACCCACCTACACATACACACAGGTGAGTTCCTAAGTTGGGTGTTGTGATGTGTATGTATGCATGTGATTCGTGTATTTGGGATACCAAATTGGGGAAAGGTTAAGGTAAGAAAGTAAAAGTGTAGGGAGTGAAAGTTGCTGGGAGTGAAAGTCACTGAGACTGGGATTAGAACCAGTAGACTAGAGGGGCCTAGGCTGAAGAACTGAGCCTTGGGTTTATTTAAGGGAGACTGGGGCTGGAAACTGAGGCAGACAGCTGAGATACTGGAGGGTGGGGGCAGATAAGTGGTGGCAAGAAGGAGACAGCCAGGAAAGAAACTGAGGCAGAAACCTGGTTGCTCAGGGGAAAAGTAAAAGGCAGTGGGGATAAGACAGTGGCAAAGAAACAGGGGGTTTGGAGGCAGAGAGGAGCTCAGGACAGGTGTTGGAGGTGGCAGTGAGCCAGAAGCAGGAGAGGGAGAAATGAGACAGAAGTTAGAGAGGCGAGGAGCAGAGATTGGAGCAGGGCCAAACCATAGTAAAGCAAAACCCAACTTAGGGGCCAAATAACAGTTTTATTACACAGACAACATACTACACAGTCCCATGAAGTTATTTGGTCTCACACACACACACACACACACACACATGCACACACACACATAGATACACACACACTCTTACTCACAATGGCAGCAGGAACAAGAGACTCAGTGGAAGGGCTGGAGTCCAGGTA